ATTATATATAGCAGTTTTTAAAGCAAGCTAAACTAGCTTTAAGGTAGAATGCTACACAGAAGTAAAAATATTGTCATCTTCTTCATTTGTATATTTGATATGTCAGAAGGATGAGGAAAATGGAATAAAAATATGCGGTCACTATACTGTGTTCAGAGAAAATCAATGTACAACATGGAGTGAAATAAGCATGTATGTTTTAGGGAATTTTATCGTTGTTTCCTATGGCAGGGATATATCTCAAAATTTATGCTAGGACGATGCATAATCAGGCCCAGAATCGTAGAAAATAAAGGTACCTGTAATTCAGAGTTTAAAATCAATAAACATGTTGACATGTGTCGAGATCTCAACTTTATTTTTCTTTTGCACATCCACATAAAATGGTTAATTGGTATGATGTTATTTTTGCACAGAATATTAAAGATATCCGGCGTAACTCCCATTTTCAAGTGAAATGAAAGCTTTTTTTGTTTTTTCATCTTTTCACGAGCACAGGACAGTACTTTGTTTGTACTTTGTACTGTGCTGCTTGCTGACTCAATCCCAATTGTGAATATGGAGCTATCTGCAAACTTGTAATTGCCTGCTTACTGCTTCACTCACATGACCCAGATTATGGCAAATTTACATACTGTTATGAATGGACATTACTGCCTTTCCAGTACGCCCGTCCTTATTTCAGATCTTATTTTAAAGGACACAACATTAACAATTAAGCGTGGCACCCTCAGCTTGCAACACTATTATAAGTAAACATAATTGTCCATATGTATTTAAATATCACTGTACATTTGAATTGTTAGGTGGATTATTGTATGCGATAAATGGTCCAGTTATGAAATCTGGAAGTAAAGAACCTCTTGGTATTGTTATCAAACTAGACACTGGTAAAGTGATCGAGACATTCAAACCAAATGAGGTAATTACTGTGTATCCATATTTGGTTATGGGTTTCTAAATAAGGTAATTGCCGTAACTATGTATCCTTATTTGGTTATGTGTTCTAAATACACTAGTTACTGTGTATCTATTTACAAGATTTCTAAATAAGGTAATTACTGTGTATCCTTATTTGGTTATGAGTTTCTAAATAAGGTAATTATTGTGTATCCATATTTGGTTGTAAGTTTCTAAATAAGGTAATTACTGTATATCCTTATTTGGTTATGGGTTCTAAATATGCTAGCTACTGTGCATCTATTGACTACGGATTTGTAAATAAG